CTGGTCAACTCTTTCAACTTACGCTTCCAACCTTGGGAGTAAGTGTCCCAATTTATTCCAAAACATCCCCGGAACCAAACCAATCACCTTGGCAAGTTACATAATAACAAACGAACATAGAATAAGCAATAAATGGGAGAACAGGACTATAATACTCAAAACAACCGGTCGGGTCGTTACATGTTAGGTTTTCCGTAGAAGCGAGAAAGCCTTGCACATGTGATGCCGCATAAGCAGAACTTGGTACGCAGGTGCGAGTGGTAGGGAATTAAGTGATTTTCTGCATAAGCGACACCGCAGAAGTGGCTACTGGTTTGTAGATGTGAAAACGCCTAGGCATGTTCCATATTTTTTGAGGGTTTGTTCATTTATTCACATTTTGAATTGGGGAGCTCGATTTTAGATGATTTTGGAGAGGATTTTGACCACATGGATTGGGGTAAGTACTTTTGACTCGGTGATTGATTATATTTTATGACTCCATCTTCAATTTTGGCATTTTATTGATAATTTCAAACGAGAAATTGGGGGGTTTTGCCTTAACTTTTCTAAATTGAATATTTGAGAAATTAGTATGGTTTGACTCATCTTTGAATGAGTTGTCAGAATTTGTGAGTTTGGTTGGGTTCTGAGGTGCGAGTTCGGGTTTGACTATTTTGTTGACTTTGAGTAAATGAGTAAAGATTCGACCTTAATCATTTGGGTTTGTTTCTTTTGGCATTATTTGATGTATTTGAATTGCTTTTGGCTAGTTTCGATTCGTTCGGAGATCGATTCGCGCAGGATGACATTTTTAGGTATTGTTTGGCTTGCTCGGTATTGAATTTGGCTCGTTCAGTTAAGTAACATTTTTAACTTGAAATTGAGGGTAATTATCCCTGGGAATCATATTATTTGTGATGTGTTGGGGTAACACACATACTAGATGATGGCCTTGTGGGCGTGCACTGGAGTAATCATCATCCGGGTTGACTTTTGTGTTGTATTGCTATCATGTCTTGTTTTATTTGTATTTTTCCTACTTGTTAAATTAATTGAGCTATGATTCATGTTACAAAGCATATTTAGGCTATGTGGTTATTTGGTTAAGACATGATGAGGCTATTTCTGTTGTTTTGGATTATCTGATTTAATTGTAATTATACACGCAATCGTGATTATTCATTTGCATATCATATCTCAGTCTCTGTTCATCATTCATTGTTACATCGAATGTTATGATTGTTTCCCATACGTGGTGCTTTTGGGCTGAGCGATATGAGATTGTGAGCCCTTGAGACATGAGAGGTTGATGACTGAGGTGGGCCTTAGAGCCGTATTGAGTGCGTTATTGTGGATCGGGCTGCACGCCGTAGGAGACAGAATGGGCTTATTATTATGTGGATCGGTCCAATAAGGTCATATTAGTATTATTATTATTATTATTATTATTATTATTATTATTATTATTATTATTATTATTATTATTATTATTATTATTATTATTATTATTATTATTATTGGTATGTGGATCAGGTTGCACGCCGCAACAGGCTCAATGGGCTTAATATTATGTGGATCGGGTTACACGTTGCACCAGGCCTTATTGGCATTTTTTTAGCAATTGGGCAGGATCTGCCCCTTCAGAGTCTGACCTACCAGCAGTAAGCACAGGCACAATGATATACATACTCGTGCTTTAGTGAGGGGCAATGATGCCAGGCACTCGTACAGTGCTGAGTGGTTGTGTTCGTCTGATGAAGTTGGCAATTGAGAGAGACAACTTGAGTATGTTGAGAGTGAGAGTACCTGGGGGTATCACCGTGAAATCATTCATTTGACATGTATACTTGGCATGTAGGCATAGAGATGCACTTTCCTCATGCTAGATGATAATGTAACATTTATGATTTGACATGTATATTTGACATGTAGGCATAGAGATGTATATTCCTCGTGTTAGGCGGTATATGATAATTGATGACTTTACATGTATATTGACATGTAGGCATAGAGATTTACTTTCCTCACGCTAATTGATAAACATAAATTCACAAGCTTGGAGGTACGTTGATGATAAACTCTCTTCCTCACACTTGTTTTAACCCATCATTATCTTTGTAAAGATCCTTAAACTCTCAGGATCATATTGATTCACTTAAGACACATTCTAACATGAAAGTACAGGGTGTAATATTCTTCCCCTTTTAGGAACATTCATCCTCGAATGTAAAGGCGTCTTAAAGGAGAAACTAGCCCTTATCGATTTTACGGAAATTTCGACAAAGTATCCTCTCTAATACTGGCTAGAACACTACTAGAAATCCGGTAAAAACCGACCAAAAAACCGACCAACATTGGTCGGTAATAGCCAAAAACCGACCAAAACGCGATTATTTACGTGTGGACGGTATTTTTGTGGTCGAAAAGGAATCCCGACCAAAGTTGGTCGGAAATTAATGACCAACTTTGGTCGGTCAATTAAATTCAAAAAAAAAAAATTGCAAAAAAAACCGACCAAAGTTGGTCGGTTTTTTCCGACCAAAGTTGGTCGGAAATTAATGACCAACTTTGGTCGGTCAATTAAATTCAAAAAAAAAAAATTGCAAAAAAAACCGACCAAAGTTGGTCGGTTTTTTCCGACCAAAGTTGGTCGTTATTTTAATTATTTAAAAAAAAGATTCACCATCTGAGAATCGAATCGGGGTCTGTACTATGGCAGGATACTATTCTACCACTAGACCATTGGTACATTTTGTTTTAAAACTGTCTTTTATTTGATTTATACTCTTTAATTATATTTTTGTACGAAAATAACCGACCAAAGTTGGTCGGTTTTATTAAAAAGTAAAATTACCGACCAAAGTTGGTCGGTTTTATTAAAAATTAAAATTACCGATCAAAGTTGGTCAGTTTTTTTAAATGACCCGCCGAATTAACCGACCAATTTTGGTCGATTTTTTTAATATTTATTTTTATTTATATTAATTGAAAAACCGACCAAAGTTGGTCGGTTTCTTGAAACATAAATTTTGCGGGACTCAAAAATAGTTTTTCGTATTTTTGCGCCAAAGAAAACCGACCAAAGTTGGTCAGTTTCGTAAAAAAAAAAATTAAAATTTTTTTTTTAAAAAAACCGATCAACTTTGGTCGGTTTTTTGGTCGGTTTTTTTACCGACCAAAGTTGGTCGGTCGATCTTGATTGGTTTTTGCCGAATTTCTAGTAGTGGAAACAATAGAGGAAAGTAATAAAATCTAGAAACAATAGAGGAAAGTAATAAAATTGCAGATTTAACAAGTAAGTTCCTTTTCTCCTTTTGTCATGACTTCCGATAGGTATTCAGAAACTGTATATTATTATTTACGCACATTTTCATACTACCCTCTTTTATTCCTTCACTCTTTGGGACGACGTGATGTTGGCGTCAGATGCATATGTAATACACCAGTTGTTTAAATTTCGATGACACACTTTTCTTATTATTTCGTTTCAAAAGGAATGACATATTTCTATATTTGGAAATAATTCAACTTTAAATTCTTCATTTTACCTATTTTATCCTTAATGAGAAGCTTTTATAATCACACAAATATCATGAGCCCACAAAACTTTTACCCCTTAAGCTTTTAAGACCATAAGTTTTAAAAGTCTATTTTTCTTCTTAAACTCCGTGACGAGTCAAACTATCTCATCTAAATTGAAACGGAGGGAGTATAATATTATCACATACTTAATGTTCAAATTCTGTATATACTTGTATTTTACTTGAAAATAAGATAAGTGCTTTATGTATTTAAGATAATCTTTCCAAACCTTATTTATTAAAGTTTTGAACTCCTTTTCTTTATTCAAGATTTGCGCTTGTATCTTCATCTTTTCTCCCTAACCTTTTCTTTCATTTATTTTATTTCTTGGTTTTTAGCTTTTTTGTTTTTTGGTGTAGATTGATGGACATTTGGTAGAAGAAAATCATAGATTTTTGATCAAATTTGCGTTGAAATATAATTCGTTGCAAAAGAGGTATGTATTTGTGCGTATAAATTAAATTTTTTTTCTATCTAGAGGTTTTTATTTCTAGATTAAAGGAAAAAATTTGACAATGAAAATTTGAGAAGTGGCTACTTCTATTTCATTTATTGTATATTTTATGTCATCTTTACATATTCTGAAATAACATAGAGCACCAAATATATGATGATTTATAAATTTATGTGAAGATGGTATTTGAATGTATAGGAGTTACATGAAAACATTATCATAATTGTACGATTAATGCACATAAGACTAATTTGAGTTTTCTTGGCGATTCATATTTTAATACACAGCGCACTAATGGAACTTATCTTTTGGGACATTATTTTGCTCAACATTATTCTTTGTAAAAATAATGAAGTGTTATTGTCCTATTAGTGATTCTGATGCTTTAGAAAACATCTTTGAATCTGGAACATTAGTCAATCGCTAATGTGATTCTTGAAGGAATGATATTGAATTTTATTTGATTCTATTTTTGTGTTGTAGGCACTTATAAATTCATGTCTTATTGACAAAAACTTTTCAATAAATCACATATAATATGTTAAATGCACGTACACAGAGCGAATAGAAACTACATAAATAGATGCCAAGAGTTCGGGTCATAACAGATTAATCAAAACGTCAAAGTTGAATATATATAGTAGAACATCGTCTAAAAGAAAGTATTAGTTGAGCTATGATAATATCACATGATTGTACCTAGTAGCATCAAAATCAATCTCATTCATCGTACCAACATAACTAAATATAGTTGTTAAATATTGTTACAAAATGATATCTATTATTTTTGTGTTCAAATTTCATATTACACGTCACATACTTGTTTTAATATTACTTACATCGTTTTATACTCATTGATATGGGTTACACGCGCAACACATGTATCGAGAAACTAGTATAATATAAATTAGTGAAGAACAAGAATACAACAATTCATTTATATGCTATATCGCATATATTAACCTATATATAAATATAGAGAAAAAAAAACCTAAACTAGGGAACCAACATTCTTAGCATAGAGAATTTAATCGTAAGGTAGTGAAAAACAAGGAAAAATGTGAATTTAACGTAAGGTAGTGAAAAAACAAGGAAAAATACAGTAATTCATATATCTGCTACTGCATGCATTCACCAAACTAAACACTCGCAGGGTTTTGTATTGTGTATTCAGGGGTTGTTGTTTCTACTGTTGAAGAAGACTTCTAAAGGTGTCGAGTGTCTCGATTAACAGCATTAATATTGGAGTCCGTGGAAGCTAGTTTTTGAGAGAGCTTCTTGCTGAGATCATCAACCTCACTGTGCAGCATTTTGATATAATTACAGGTCTCTTCCAATGTCTTCGAGGCTGATACCTATATATCCAAGATCAATTAAAAGAGCGAGAAGACCTCAGACACTTCGTAGTAAAGTGATCTAAGCCATAACACATTTTTTCCATTTGCTGAAAATAAAGTTTGCAGAATGTTTACGTAGGAAAACTGAAAAGCTACTACTAGTATAATTTGTGCTGAAAATCAAGTAATAATAGCTTGTCCATTCAAGTAGAAAAGCAATGACGATAATAATAGTTGTATTCCCTATGCCATTTTTGTCCTTAAAGAGTTAGGCGTTCGACTAAAAAATGCATATATTTAATCATTGTTATCTTATATTATAGTATTTTAATCGTCTTTTGAGTATTAATTATATTATTTTGTGCTTAATATTATATTTTAATTGTGTAAAAAAAGTGGCGTGAAGACGAAAAGATTTGGAACAAATTGATAAAACTCGAAAGAAAAAAAAACAATTAAATAGGAAAAGACAAAGGGGATACCTTTGGTGTTTGTCCCCCAAGTTCAAGACAAAAAAAGAAGAAGTAAAAATACAATTTAAATCAAATAGTTAAAGAAGGCCAAAATCGTTACTATTTTTTGCTCCGGGGCAGCGCAGGCGTTGGTTTGGAGGCCGGGGTTTTTCTATTTCGTCCGGAACAATATTATTTCGGGCATACACGGTCTCAATTCATATAAAAAAAATTCTAAACCTATTTTGGACAAAGGGAGGACATTTTTTAGAGGAAAACATAAGCACAAAGTCGCCGTGGAGGCTTGAATTTATCAAATTCTATCTTTCTTTAGCCAAACTTAATAATTTTTATATTTATTTGTATGATTTATTGTTATATTGAATTGTACATGTCACCGTCTAATTTAAAAAATTTAAGTTTTTAAGCTTTAACATGGCACGAGAGCATGTAAAGGTCTTGAATATTGAAGTCTCACGCACCCACGCCAATTATCCAAAATAATTCATGTACTTAGCCAATTAAAAAAAATCAGACTCAGACAATTTAAAAAGTGTAATTAACAAAATGAAAGTGTACCTCAGAAGTGCACCTTGAAGAGGAATCTGGCAACAAAGCTTGTAGTTTCAAGACGAGATCACTAATCTCATCTGGAGTAAGTCTTAAAACTGATCTTCTTCTCCTGCTAGACATGATCTTTAGCTCTGTTGATTTCTTCTCTAATCTCCTACTAGCCAAATTAAGGAGTTGATGCATACGCATGAGGTCTCTATGATGAGTTGTTTTATAAGTAAATGTAGGGTTAGGTTTGGACACAATCTAAACGAAAGAGACAAAACAAGAAAGAAGGTCCCCCCAAAAAAAAGGCCCAAACCATATACTCCTTCTACCAGACAGACCCCCACCCCTTTTAGGAAAGGAAAAGGTTAAGCAGCTACCTAGAGCTAATTAAACTACTACTCCCTACTAGAGAGGTCCCATATTCTGTTTCAATCTTGATCCAATTATGTGTCGGATCACGGATGTAGGACAAAGTAACAACTACAAGAATAGAAATATTCCAAATTTAGCTTCATTTCCTTAACGCTTAAAGTGCCCTTAATTTTACACATGTCCTCACTTGATTATGGATAAACTCGACTCAATAAAGTAGTTTACGTGCTATTTCAAAAGGTTTTTGCTTATACCGTAAAGAATTTACCTATTACAGCAAGTTATCCACTTTACCTTTTGAGTTTAAATTCTATGCACTCTCGATGTAAAATTATATTTTTGCACAAATATATCACTTATGAGGTAATTACAGAAAAATCTCTAGATAACCATTCATTAATAACATCATAAAAATGAATAACTAACTTGCTCTCTCTGTTTATCCGGAATATCGGATAGAGTTAAATTTTATACATAGTTCTAAGGGTATATGGTATAACTTGTTACAAATCGTAAAGAGAAATAGAAATGTACAATCTTGGCTATAATAATGAAAGATAAAAACGGTTAAAAGGAGGAAAATAAATGAACTAATTAAGATGAAGTAATGGAGCTTCAAAGGATTGATCTTTCAATATGAGAAATAGCTTTTTTGTTACAATGTGTCGATGCCCTGATGCTTACAACAATCACCCCAGGATTCTCTCCCCTAGTGCGGTTGCAACGACTCTTGTCTGTGAGCTCGATACTGACTCGAGCTCGGTATTGAATCGAGCCCTCGATCTTGACTCGAGCTCGATTCTGACTCGGAGTCTGGTATTAATTCACGGTCGGTGCCGGTCGGTCTATGCATCTTAAACTCGACAATTTCGCTTCGCCTCGTAGTTCGATTTGGATACTAACTCGATAATGATACCGAGCTCGTAATTGATCGGTCTTACAATTCGAAACTCGATGACCTTACTTCGGACCTCAACCTGATATTACGAAGACGCCCTTCGATCAAAATATTATCATCTCGACCAGTCCATACGACTAACTAATCGGTTTTGACCGTATACACTCTCACATTAAAACAATAGGTAAATTAACTTAAATCCTTTTCGGATTACCAAATTCGAACTAATATAAACATTTACCTATCTCTAGACATAAAACCATAAAGAATAGGGTTCAAGCCTCCCCTTCCC